TACGTAGAAATGTATATCTAAGCATGCATGTATGACGTATTGTCTATTCTTGTTTCCAAATATTTGGCGATGACACCCGTACTTTCGACCGATATCACGTTTGTTTACGTTTATCTAGTTATCCACGAAATAATCAATGTGTGTACAGTGCTATTGATTTTTTGAATAAAATTACATTACTTTCGGTAATAGCCGAACATTTAGACAATCGAGAATCACCCATGACTGTTGCCGGTGAATTGAAACTAATAGCATATACAGCCTGTTGCCTGCCGTTCCAGAGTTGTTACGGCAGACCATCACTGAACATGCGTAGTGGCCGATGTTTGAGACTATGTAGATATGTCTTTTTTTTTTCTCACGCTGTCCAATATGTCGTGAATTTATAAATCACATTAAAACTCTGGTACTTGCAGGCTCGTATTCACCAAATAGTTTAAGCACCAAAGCGGTACTTTTAATATTGCAAAAATACAGTATACAAAGATAGCACTCCAGTGATGGCTTAGCGATTGTACCCCTACGTCGGTCATTGATATAATTGTGCGTTTACGTGCAGCAACCTATACATCGGTCATTGAGGCAGATATCCTTTGCTATTCAAAATCTAATATTGTTTGCTATCTGTAACTCTATGTGAGGACTCGTAAACTAAGAGCCCTCCCCTCGACATACATGTATAATCTAGTGACTGACGGGTTCACGCTCATGAATGTACAATCTACGATTCAAAGACTCACCTCTACAGTGCTCAATTCAGAAACAAGTTTTAGTAATCGGACTGCGTTCGTAATACCTTAGCGCAATCTATTGGTTTGAAACTGCGGTCTTGTTGTGACACTGTATTCATCATTCCAGGTACGTTTCGATTGGACTGTACTGATGACCGATGGGATGCCGGTTCACACTCAGCATAGTATTGCGTCTCTAGTTGCACCCAATTCCTCTGAGGATTGTCCGCGTTACGTTTATGTGGCCCAACCGTGGTGTGTTCATCGTTCGTTTCACTAGTGGCATTCAGATCTGCTCCGGAAAATGATGCTCTGCGCGTCGCCTGATATAGATGTTGTCTGACACTTCCGTTCAACGATATCGGGGCGACTGTGATTGTAAAGATGTGCGTGTACTCTCAGCCCAACTTTGCGGTTTGTGCTCGGTGTTGTTATTATCCTTGAAATAGTACAGTCTACGATGTGGAATATAGTGGTAAGGGGCATGGTCTGAGTACTGAGAATGGTTGATGTTAGTCTCCGCATGTGCGGCACGACCATTAGACGCTGATAAATCGATTGCATTATTAAGGTCATTCGTAACCGGAAACCTATGTCGACTACCGGCATCCAAAAATGAAGTTTTAGGTGAGGGCTTGATAAATTCCGACGCAAATCCTGACCCTAAACTCTCATTTTCAATGTAGTAGGAGGGATCCTGTGGTATATGTCTTATTGTGGCATGTGCAGGTATTTTAGAAATAGTCCGTCTTCCCATTTTTTGTTTGTACGCATTCATCTCGCTGGCATGCCGTGCCGCCAATCGACGCATGCCCTCCACCATCTCTTCATCGTACGAGGTCGACTCCTGTTCGTATTCGAGAGCGCCAACATTGTCATCCTGCTTATTATATCCCGTGAAACTACCTTGATTCAAAATATGCGATTTTTGCCGCGCCTGGTTTGAGTCCAAGGTGTAAATAGAAGAAGTCCGATTATTCGATTTGCTGGTACAAGCATGATTGCCAGAGTCCTCCAGCAATAGTTTCTGCTCGGTGTCATTACGACTGTAGTGCTGCTGTATATATCTGGCAAAAGATGGATAGCGAATGTTAGTAACAGATGGTAACTGATTGAAACATTAATCTCTATAGTGTAATTGCGAATAAGACGGTAGTTCGTAGCGGCAGGGCATGGTCGAGGCGTTCTTTTCAATCACACTGGTAATAGAATGCGTAGCGTGAATCAGGTAAAGCACCCAGCTAGTGAGATACGGCAAATAGCAATGAAGTCGACCGCATGCAATGCCATACGTTGCATACACCTGTACAAACTGCCCACCTGCCAGGATTGGTTGCTTCGTCATGCGATTGAGACGGACCGGCCACTATGTTATCACAATTCTCACCAAATGGGGCACTAAAATCAACGCACTCGATTGCAAATGCATTCGGGAACGGTCGCCAATTGTTTAGCTCCTTGATGTTTCTGGAATTGTTCTTCCCTTCGCTGATACTTGAACCCTTTGTGATGCTGCTGTCTCCGCTGCTGGAAGAATCGATCTTGCCCGAATTCTTGCCTGCGCCCATTTGTACTGTTGGCTGTGCAATACTAAGTGAGTGGCATGCATTGTGCATTTCCCCCGCATCCTCTTTTGATCTTTCGCTACTTGACTTCGCATAACCGCCCATTATGCCATATGTTATAGGCGGCGGTTTAATATCCGGATAGGGGTTTATCGGCAGCAAATTATATCGATTGCGACGTGACCCATCGTGCCTTCGGTATTTTTTCCATCGTAATTCAGACCCAAAGGCCTTCCGAAGTGCTTTACCTATCACTGAAAAAAATGGGTATGCAAATATCAATGGTGAGACTAATTCGAACAGATAAATATACAGTCTATAAAAATGACCGTGTGCTAATTGTTCGTTCTACAATGGTAATTGCGCGCACCGGTACGTGGTCCGAATTTGCTATGTGTATTGTCAGTAAGGTCTAACACCAATATACAGCTACAAAATGAAAGATCAGTATTTGCGGCTGCAGAAATCTGCTCTATCTTCTGATGTGTAAGGCTACATAAAAGCAAGAATGCTGTGTGCAAACAATTTCAATTCATCTAAAATTGTGAAATTGCTTGAAACTAATAGTTCACTTCCCTGTTGACTACAGCTTGCTAGGTATTAGTTTTACAAATGGCTCGATGCCTGCATATATTAGATATGTCCTGTAGCAGCACGTTGGAATTATGTTCGAACTATGTTCTGTATAGCATCAACCAAGAAGCATCAAACAAGCACTCAATAGGCAGCTGACAATACCTTACATGCTGGACAGAAAAAAAACCTGTACCTGCTTTCATCTTGTCCGCCATTGTTGAATCGTACCCAGCGTGTGCTATAATATCCTCGCACCTCTGCCATATAGCGCTACTATTCTTTTCTAATGGTTGGAAACATTGCTTCAAGCGGGCAGATAATACTACCAAGATTGCACTGTCCTCCATCATCCCGGCTGAATGATTGTGTGTAGTTTTTGAACATACTTTGACGTGTGCTATATGGCTGTCTGAATATAAGATATTAGTGAGCTGATCGACAGTCGGCTCAATTAATATTTCCGACGCAGTATTACAATCTGTCGGTCAATTGCACTCTGGATTTAAATTTTTTGCATGGTAAGTTGTCAAAAAGGTCAGACAGTTTGCTATGCTCATAATATAGACTGTAGCAGAGGTACGCTACAGAGGCAATGGCCTCATAGTTGCATCTCGTAAAATAACAACTGACTTATAAAATAACAACTGACTTAGCAATTTGCATTTATATATATGAGCAGTTTTGAGGGTTCTTGAATTCTGATCACCACGAGAATTTTTAGCAGAAAAAAAGACTGTTCGTTTTTTTTGTACCTTTTTTTTGTATATCATTCATAAATAAAATAAACTAAAAATACAACACAAAAAGGCACAAACTTGGAACCTGGTATTTATTTATTTCTGGCCATTTTATGAGTAGAGGGGTGCCAATTGCTATGCTGCTGTAAATAAATAGCTAACTGCAGACTGCAGACTGCAGAACTGGTGACTGGTGGGAATAGAACTACTTGCAGTTGTGCTGTGTGCACGCGTTGAATATCCATTATCCGGTCGCTAAATACCTCGAATTTTCTCAACAATTATTTACGAAAGCACTGGATTTTATAAAATATTCCCAAATATTTCATTTGTTTATATTTGGGTCCCCGCGAGTCTACGACTCTCCAGAGTGGCCACTGGCCAGTCCCCAGTCCCCACTGTCACTCCCTAGTCCCAACTTCTCCACCCAGAGATTGAACGAGGGATGTCTTGATTAAAAGTCTGATCAGTGATCACTGGTTTTTTAAATATACGCAAATCTGTTGCCAGTTGCCACTTCACCCCTCAGGAAGTGGTAGCCCCAAGGTAGCCCCAGAGACAGAGGCTCAGCCTTCAGAGGTTAGTTACTCAGAGGTGACCAGCCAGCCTGCTCTGCTTGGAGGGGTTTAATTTATTTATTTTCAAAATGTTATGGCTGCCGCTGCATCCCAGTCACAGACCTCATTCCGTTATTCGTTAATCCGGCTTAAAAATAGGTAAACATTATACGTTCAACGTTTAAATCATATACGTGGTCCCAAATCCATCTGGAGGAGTTCTCAAAGCCTAGCTGACAATTTTGTCCCATATTGTATGTATAATATACCCCTGCCGCCACTTTTGCCTCTCCCAACGTTCGGTTTGGATTGACATGTTGGATCATTGTATGGTACATTCATTGTGAGGTCATATCATGTTCACTGCACAATTGTCCATTTATCTCTGTAGCATATTTTCAATGATTGCAGCCAGTACTAACACATTACGTACATAGAGCATATGTTTTATGGTTATAACTTCATATATGTAAGGGATATTCTATGTTGTTTTGATTTTTATATAGATAAAAGTGTGTCAGTTTTTACTATCCGACTGCTGACTTGATTTGACACAAAAGCAGGACTCTTAAGACACCCTCTGTTACGCCTAACACTTAAGACTACGGCTGTTAAGCGCCCCATTAAGACTACCTCTGAAAAGCGTCCCGCTCTCGCCCCCTTCCAAGTTAAGCGCCCCGCTCTAACCCCCTCCAAGTTAAGTGTACCATTCTCGCCCACCGCCAAAATATGCCCTGACTAAAATCCCTTATGCCTACATAAATTTAATATATATTAAATATGTACATGTATATATATATATACATATGTATATATGTATATTTGTATATATATATATATATATATGTGTGTGTGTGTGTGTGTGTGTGTGTGTGTGTGTCGTC